CCGGTCAGGGCACATGGCTGGGTGGCAGGTTCGGTCCCCGCAAGGGCACGTACTGGAGACAACCAATCGATGTTTCTCTCTCCCATCAGTGGTTCCCTCCCTCTCTCAAATCAGGAAGCAGGTCCTTGAGGGAGGGTTAAAAAAGAAATAAATATTTACAAAATAATGTGAGTGGACTCCACTGACTTTGCAAAACGTCCCCTGCCCAAGTCACTCTCCTCTGGGGCCCATGTATGAAGGGCCCTTTTCCAGATACGCCCGAGGGCTCCGGAGCCTGGACGAAGGAGCCGCGCGATATGACACGGAGCAGCAATGTCCCCGAAGGACAGGTAGGAAAGGCCAGAAGGGGCCGTGTCACCAGGACACTCCTGCCGGCCCCTGCAGGGAGCTGGACCCCTCCTTGAGCAGGTGGAGGACCGAGGACATGTGGCCGTGGGCCCGAGGACCCTGGGGGACTCTGGTTACAAGGATGCGTGTGGGGCGGGGGGTGGGGACTGGGGAGGCTGCCCTCGTGGCTGAGCTCCGCCGGGACTCAGGGGGCCGGCTGAGCAGTGGCTGGGCCGGGTAACCCCCTCCCTCTCTCCGGGGATAATCGTGGGCATTCAGTGAGCTCATGTGCATAACAGCACCTTAAGATTCCAAAGTGCAAAGGAGAATGCGGGCGGTCATTACCAGCACTACCCCCGAGACCATTTTTCTACCGCATAAGTAGTGTGTGTGTGTGTGTGTGTGTGTGTGTGTCCCAGAGAGGATTCAACACACTCGCGGAGTCAGAGGGCGGAAAGGCATCCCGGGGCTCAGAAACGCAAGCCAGCGGCAGCCAGCGGAGCGCAGAGGCCCACGAGGGGGGCGCGGGCGTCCCGCGGGGCCCAGAGCAACGCCTGCCCGGGTCTGGGAGGGGGGAGGATGGCGGGAGGGGCCGCTCTGCGGGGCCGCGGCGGGTGCGGGCACCGTGGGCGCCTGCGTGGACGCCTGGCGTGGAGGGCCCTGTGCGTGGCGGCAGGCAGGGGCAGGGCACGTGCAGCCGGGCTCTATGAAGCAGAGCTTGTGGGCATTTCTCGGGGACGGGCGAGGTCTGGTTTACCAGGATGTGAGCAGCCGGACTTCAGTGACCCCCCACCGTCCCACCCTGCCCTGCTGTCACATGTCACAGCCCACTCAGGGATCCTCGGCCTCCCAGGGTTCTGCAGAAAACCGCCCACGGGGAGCAGCGCGTGTGTTCCAGGAATTCGCTGGGCCTTGGGAAGTGAGGAAGGGGACTCCCGGCCTGGCCGCTCTCCCTCCCTCCCACGCCTTCTCGCACCTCCTCTCCCTGGTTGTCCCCAGGAGCTCCTGACAGCCTGGGGGTGCAGTGTCCCACAGCGCCACCCCAAAGCACCCTCTCGCAGCCCTCCACAGCCCCGCCCATAGCCCCGCCCACAGTCCTACCCACAGCCCCACTCACAGTCCCAACCACAGCCCCACCCATAGTCTCATAGTCCCACCCACAACCTTGCCCATAGCCCCGCCCATAGCCCCCCCACAGCCTCGGCCTCCTATAGCCTCACAGCGCCACCCACAGCCCCACCCACAGCCTCATAGCCCCACCCACAGCCCCACCCATAACCTCATAGCCCCACCCACAACCTTGTCCATAGCCCCGCCCATAGCCCCGCCCACAGCCTCGGCCTCCTATAGCCTTACAGCGCCACCCACAGCCTCACTCATAGCCCCACCCACAACCTTGCCCTTAGCCCCGCCCATAGCCCCGCCCATAGCCCTACCCACAGCCTCGGCGTCCTACAACCCCATCTCACTGTCCCACTCCCCAGTCTGGCAGAGTCGCCCCGCCCATGCATCCTTTCTTGAACACTTACTTGAGGATGTATTCCAGCACAGGGAGAGAGAAAACCAAATAAGAAAGACTCTCCTGGGGACAGTAAAGGGAGCCCCCGGGGTGGCAGCTGTGCGAAGCCCCAGGGAGCAGCAGCTCGGTTGGGTGGGAGTAGGGAGAGGGCTGGGAGCAGGTTTGGGGACAACACGGTGGTAAAACTGAGGATATCAGTTTGTTAACAAGAAGGAACAAAGGCAAAACGACAGGGAAAAACATGTATATAATAAACTTACATTTCAAATATAGAGCAAAGTACAATGAAATATGGTTTTCAGTTACTGATAGGGTGTAAAAGGTGTTCACCCAACTGGAGCTTGATGCGAAGACTTGTCTTCCTGGAGTGGCCCACAGAGGAGATGTCCCCCAGCGCAGGGCCTACGTGACAGGTAACTGGATGCTCAGAGCCCCGCTGCATGGTGGGAACCGGCCTTTACTCAAGACCAAGTCTGTAGGTGCGACCCTTCAGAGGGGACCCACAGGGCAGTTCCCGGACACCCCTTGCCAGGTGAAGGCAGGTTACAGAAAATGGAGTTAATTATTCACCTTCCATATGAGGAAGCCAGTGTATTTTGTCAAACGCTCATAAATCACAAAACAGGAGTATGAACAGGATGCGCGTTAAATTAAGGCGTAAGGGAGTAATCAAGCTATTCAAAAACGGACGTGGTCATAAAGGGTCAGCCCTGGCGTGGTGGGGCTTGGGGGTGGGGCTCAGGGCCGGCAGGGGGAAGAGAGAGACATTGTATTCGATATTTTTTTTTTTAGTATTATTTAACTTTTTCACCTTGTTCCCATGTAGTACTTCGATTTTAAAATTCATATAAAAATGAAACCAAAGATGTAGAATTCGTTCCAAAGTCCTTGAACATCATAACTCTGCATAAAGCAAAGTAAACACATTTGGCCGCTTTACTTTGTAAAGCATTTTCCCTGGGTCTCTCTCACTTGCCTGTACAACCATCACCAAAGGGACACACAATGCCCTCTTCTTACCCTGGGCTAGGTACCGCGCCTGCCCCCAGGAACCAAGGCAGGAGACAGCGACCTCTCCGGAGTCTCTCCTTCAGAGGCTTTGCCTCCATCCCCTTCCCTCGGGCCGGGCCGGTTCTATTTTTAGTTTCTGTCCTTGCATGGGTTACGTCCCAGCCGGTGGTCATGCTCTGGGTGCCAGGCACGCTGGCGACACCCTATTTTGGGAGCAGAGCCCTGAACACGCAGGGACAACTGAGAATCATCCCAGGATGCTTCAGGCTGCCCAGACGGCACACGGAGCCACCTCCGTGGACCCCGTACAAGGCTCTGGCGTTTCCCACGTAGAGCAACTGCACAGAAAGAAAACACCAATGACCTTGGCCGTGGCTGGGAGAGAGCTCCACGTTCCCTGCTGTGGGCATCTGGCGTGGCTCTCACGTAGCCCTCTGGAGGCTGCTTAGGGTTGGAAAGAGAAGCCTGTGGATTATGCGGCCACCAGACAGTCACCCACCGCTCCCAGGGAATTAACGCGTAACTCCTTGCTGTGACATTGGAAATGAGTAACTGTGACCACGGGGACAGGGGTAGAGACGCAGGCCGTGGTCCCCCGCACAGCTTCACCGGGAAGTATTTTCTTCCTCATACGTGACTGGGGGTCTCTCGAGGTGTCAGGAGCCCTCCCACTCCTGAGATGGGGCTCCCTGTGCTCCAGGCCTGCCTGCCCCGGCAGGAGCCCACAACTTCTTTCAAGCCTCAGCGGCGACTTCTGGTTGTGCTATCACAGCCCTGCAGTTTCTTTCTTTCTGTCAGTATTTGAAAGCCTCGGCTCCTCCCAGCACGCAGCCATTTATGGGCAGGGCTCCGGCTCGCCCCGCCGCTGGCCCTGGGGTTCTGAGCAAGGCAGAAGCCACCCCAAGCGGTTGGACAGAGGCCGCCCTGGGGAAACGCTCCATCCAGGCTGGGCTCCGAGTGCCCGGGCACGGAAGGGCTTGGGTCTGACCGTGTGTGCTCTTGGGCAGGACGGTTCGGCAGGGCGCGGGTGCACGCCCTCTCCTCCTAATCTGGGGTACAGAGAACACGCCTTTATCGGCAAGCATCTTGGATCAAGGACAACGCCTTCCATTGTCATGACTAGTTCCCATTTCTGTGTGGCCCACGTATGCCGTCTTAATGATCGTGTGAGCGGCACATCCAGCCCCGGGTGCAGCCCCGGTGGCACCTGGCTGGGGGCCGACACCTGCACCTTCGGTCTGAGCTGGCGGGCGTTGGCCTTGCTCCCTCCGGCAAGCTGCGGGCTTTCCACCGCGCGCGCTGGACAAGCCCCGCTTTGGGGGTGCAGCTGGTGATTGCAGAAGATGTACCTGGGCTCCGGTGTCAACGCAGCCCTCGGGGCTCCCCAGGACCCCCAGACCTGTCCCCCGGGGGCTGGGAGGGCCCTGCTGCAGCGCGCTTTGGGATCTGCTCCCTCCAGGACTTCAGCGGCTACAGCAGGGCATTTTCTGGACTCTGGGCAAAGGGATGGGCTGCTGTCCGGGAGGGGAGAGTTCACGTGTTTACAGGGAGTGTTAGGGACAAGCGCTAGGCCTGCGTGACCTGCCATCGCAGCCTCCCCAAACACCCACATTTTTTCTGAGTGTCCTGGGAAATGGGCTGGGGCGGTTGAGCTTTGTTTGGAGGGGGATGGATGGGTGAGGGTGGGGATACGTTGAACTAGGCCGGGGAGTGGAGAGCCAGCCAGACCTTCACCCCGCAAAGCTTCCCGCGGGCTCTGGCCTCCTGGCCTATCACGCACGACGGCCGGTGAGGGTTTGGTCCCCCTGCCCCCCCCCCCCCCCCGGAGCCTGTGCGAGGCATTCCCTGCAAAGCAATCGGCTCTGGCAAATACAATAATGAATCATAAATTTTATTTCAAAATGTAAACGTCACTAAACATGCATACACGTTAAAACGATCAAATTTACAATTTAGTTAATTTTTTTTTTCCTTTTGCATAGGACATCATTACAATATAGAATCTATGCCATACAAAATACATACAAAGTTTTATCCGAGCAAGCCAAGGCCAGGTTGGGAACTGTACAACTGTAATACTTCACTGTAGTGATCCAGGAAAGATGAAGTGTGGCCTTTGGAAGCATGGGTGGTGCTGGTTAAAAAACAGAAAAGAAGGTTCCTATGGAAAAGGAAACTGTGTGCTCTATGGAAATGGTCTTGGACCCTTGGATTCGGCCTTGGAAGTTTGGCGAACAATTCCACAGACACTCCATCAATGGCTTTGGACGGGGAAGGGGTCATTTGTGCGGCGGGTCTGGGGGCCGCTGAGGCCCCCGCGCATGCACCCAACACACCCACACAAGCAATTCCCGGCCACGCGGGAGCCGCAGCGAGCCCCACGCCCACAATGCATAGCTGCTCAGAAAGGCCAACGCCCACGTGGTTCAGCCCTGGGGCCCGAGCACCCGGCACAGGGAGACTCTCTACCGTGAGGCCAGGGAGCCCAGCCTCCACTCACAGGCCCAGAGGCAGGTACCCCGACCCCAGAACGGACGCTACACCCCAGGTGTCTTAGCCACGCGGGGAGGTGGCCCGCTCCCTCCACGTGGAAGGCAGGCTAGGCGGGATACGGCCACATCCAGCCCAGCCGGCAGGTCGGAGTGGGACAGACACCTGCGGGCAGACCCGTGGGCACCCTGCAGGTGCCCAGCTCACAGACTTGGTTCACAAAGGAGCGTGTGCTGCCGACCATCCCCAGGAGGACGCCCCAAGCCCTGGGCGCAGCCAGCTCCTGCGGCCCTGCCCTGCCCCTGTGCTTCCCGCGGCCTCGCTTCTGTCCATCCTTAAAGACAAGCAGTAAGGTTTTAAAGCTTCACGAGGCAGGGGAAGCTCGGCCGGGCCAGGGGGGCCCTTCGCGAGTCCCATATCACGACAGGGTCAGTAGAAACTGTGTGGCCCCTCTTCCCTCGTGGACCCGGGGCTCCCGCCACATCCAACTCTTCTAACCCGCAGCGGACGGCACAGCGGGGCGGGGCGGGGGCTCTCCCTGCCGAATGTCCGGCGTTTATCAGTAGGAAGCTGGACTGTGCATCTGAATTCTGACACAAAATTGTCTGGAATGTGTCTGGGACAAATCTTGGGCAGCTGGCCTCTACATGGGGACATCGCCAAAGGGCCTGGCTCTCCGCGGGGCCAGGCCGGATTCACCAAGTTGTCAGCCCACATCCTTGACGTTGGCTTTGGAAAACGCACTCCGCGAAATCGCACGCGGAGCCTTCGGGTGGCAGCAGGCGTGGCTGACCCGCAAAGCGCTTCCTACTGGCTGTGACGGGACCCACGCTGCTGGCCCTTTCGATCTTCCAGCACTTGGGTCTTCGGCTGGACGACTTGTAAAAAACGGGTTGAAACAAAATCAGGGCTCCCTGTCCCAAGTCAGGTAGCCTTGTAAACACAGCCAAGACCGGAAGCCGGAGACGAGGGGGCGCTATTGCTTTGGTCGCGTTTCCTGGGAAGCGGCTCCCCTGCCCGCTGACACGGGGCTGAGGCCCCTGCGCGCGCTGGGACCCTGCGCAGGCCGCTCAGCGCCTGCTGCGGGAGAAGGAGGCGGGGCCTCCTGGACACACCCGCGCGGGGATGCTGAAGACTGGTCCGCCCTGCTTCAGGGGGACCACAGACCTTTCTGCGCGTCCTAACGAGCGCTCCGAGGGCGGCCCGGCTGTCCACCACCGCCTGAGTCACCCATCACTGGTTCGCGCTGTGACTGGGGGCGTGGGGAGGTGACGGTTGCACCTGGAGTCTGCACCGTGGTGACGCCGCCCCTGCCCGGGTGTGTGCGGCCTCAGAATAAAGGGTGGGGGGTCCCGCACCTCCAGCGACGCGGGTGGGGGCATGGCAGGACGCAGGTGGGGCCCGTGAAGACAAGGCCACCACTGCCCGCTCCCGTGTAGCACCCGGTGGCAGAGGACCCCGGGGCCCTCGGTGGCAGGGGCTCGGTCTGCTGTCTTTCCGGATGGCTGTAGGGTCCGGTAGGCATGAGGGGACAGATAGCTGTTCCCCTAATATGGCTGAGACAAAAAAAGGGACATTTTCTATGGGACACGTGCCCCCAGTGGCTGGGTTCGGGGTCACTTTGAGGCCCCTTGTGGAAGGGAGCTGCCCTTCCACTCAGACAAGCTTCTTTCTGAGATCTCTGCCCCCGTGACCTGGAGCCAGACACAAAAATAAAGGTTTTCACTGTAATTTCTGGGAGTCCTACGGGTTCCGCGGTCGCATGGGCGCTGGCAAGCACGACCATAAACCCCAGAGAGGAAAAACCCTGAAAGACACCCAGGCGGGGGAAGGCATTCTACATCTTAGACGAAAACGCAGCCTGTTCCCAGGGGCCGAGCCCGCGTGGCGCCCGGCACCCCCCCCCCCGCCTGCACTTAGACTCCCGGTTTCCTGAGGCAGGGGCCCAGAGCACCCTTGAACCGGGCCTGAGATTCATAGCTCCCCCCGCCCCCCGCCCCTGCCCTTAGAGGCTGATGAATGTTCTCCACGCCACGACCGAGTCGGGACAGTGCGCTGGCCGGAGCCCCAGGCCCCAGCGCCTGGCGGGACCCCCTCCCGATGCCCCAGCTCCTGAGCCAAGGCCACACCCGGCCACCAGGCCAGAACCGCTTTGGGAATGAAGACACTCTCATTTGCCAAAAATAGCCAACGCCTGCATATTTCTGTTTTAAGGCAATGTTACCCTTCCATCCATCAGACGGAACAGCCCTGGGTCATTTGGAGGAAAAATTAAATTAAGTGCTCTCTTTGGAAACAGCAAATGCCCGCTCTCCCTCCCCCACCCCCCACCCCGCCTCTAAAACAAACCAGCTCTTCTTTTATTCCAAGGTGACTGGGTTTGGAGTCCTTTCCCCCTTCCTATGTGCAGATGGGCAGGTTGGCAGCCCTGCCTCCCAACGCCCCCTGGGAGCCGCCCCACCTCGCGGAGGGGGCCCGTGGACGGAAAGCGCACCAAAGGACTTTGGAATAAAATTCCTGAACCTGGAATGTGAGTTCCTGAGACATGAAATGTGTTCAGAGTGCGGCTTTCCGGCCTCACACAGAAACAACTTTGGGAGGGACATCCGGGGCCCTGCCGGGCCTCGCTTTGGAACTGGGCACAAAGACCTGGCACCCCGGGCCCCCGCGCGCAGAGTCCGCTCACTCCCCCGGATCCCTGGCCCGCGGGGCTGCCGAGCAGCCCAAACAAAGCCCAGCTCCTTGCCCGGCCTGGGCGGGGCCGCGGGGCGCCGCCCACGCCCGCGGCTCCGCCCACAGCAGGAAAGCTGCAGCCCAACTTGGTGCCAATCACGCGCCTCAGAGGCTACCGCCCAGCCACCGGCCAAGCCCAGCCGACACGCAGCAGCTATACACGGGCACCCAGGCTGCTGCCGACGCAGGCCGCCACGCTCGCCGTCGCGGGAGACAGCGGGCACCGCGCCCTCAGGAGCTGGCCGGGAGCAGCGGCCAAGCGCCGTGAGCACCAGCCAGGCCCGGGGAACGGGGGTGCTCTGCGCTGCACCCCACACTGAGACACAAGTGGTGGGGCAGGGGCTGGGTGGCCAAAACCAAGGCACTCTGGACCCAGGAAGCCTGTCTACAGCCCTCTGGGGTCCCAAGGGTCATCCGTCCTCATTCAAATGGGCAGAGGTCTCTGCAAGCTACCCCAAGTCCACCCCAAACGCACACCCCGGCCAGCACACACGTACGCACACGCACACACACTGCTTTGGGGGCCTGTATTTACACGCCCTGCGTCTGCACAGCGGCGCGGCAGCCGGCTGTCTGCAGGGGAGGCAGGCGCGGAGCCCGGCCTGTCTGACCCACGCGGGCTTGCGCCTCGAGCCAGCCCAGGCCGGGGGTCCCAGAAAAACGGCCCGGCCCTGTGCGGCTCCTCTCCAGCAGGCGCGGGCTGGCAGGGTGCGGGCCGGGCGGGAGAAGCAGGAGGGGACACAAGGAGTCCAGGAGATGCAGAGCTCCAGGACCCGGTGGAGCTTCGCTCATTCGGAGCCAGGGACACGGTGAGAGCGGTCCTGCGCCTTTCTGGCTGCCGTCCCCTGAGGAGGGAGCAATGCACGGTCCCCATCAGCACGTCCCCGGCACCCGCTTCACCACGCTCGGAAAGTCCCGGGTCTGAAAGCTCCGGTGTCCTGCTATAGATGGGCCTTGGGGAGGCACCGAGCGCGGCCACATGCCCGGCCACATGCCCGGCCACCCACGCGGAGCCTGCGGCAAGGCAGCCAGGCAACTTCACCCACTGGTTCAAACAAAGGTGTCCCGATAGCAGGAGGCGGCCCGGTCAGGAGAGCAGGGATCTGGATGCACCAATGACACTTTGGGACGTCTCTGTGGAACATCGGGATTCCCCGGTCTCTGACGTCTTCTGCAGGGGCACCGAGGAGCAGGTACTCCTGTTCGGGGCGCGACCCTGGGCCAGGCTGAGGGCTGCAGTGTGGCCCCCGCAGGTCGCACTGGACGTCGATGGTGCAGTGGTCTCCCAGCCTCTGCTCCCAGGGCCCCAGAGAGAGGCCAGGGACAGGGGGGACTGTGCTCCTTTGCCTGGCGTGGCTTAAGGCACCCCTCTGACCCGTGTATGTCCTGAGCCCGGCCGGCCGCTGGGGCAGGGGCCGGAGGCTGGGCGGTGGCAGCCAGTGGGGCGCTTGGGCCCCCGCTTGGGCGCCTGCCCTGGAAGCACAAGTGTCAACGAGCACATCTGCTCCCAAGGGGCCGACGGACAGACCCGCGGGCTGGACGCTGAGCTCCACGGGCACCGCTTCCCGGGCTGGGTCCCCAGAGTGTGCCCGAGCGAGCCCCAGAAAGCTCCCGAGTGCAAATCTATGTACAGTGTAAGGCGGCAGGAAGGGGCGTCCTCACCGAGCTCCGGACCCGGACCGTGTCCATCCCTGAGAACGGGTTTCACACCGCGGACTCTCGCCTTTGTGGGTACGTCCATTGTGCAACTTGTGGATGGTGTTTTTTAAAAAAAAAAAAAAAATTGGTTGTTTGTTTTTTTTTACAAATTGAGTTTGACACCTGAGGTGAAGAAAATCGGTGGGGGGGGGGGCTGACTTCATCGAATTCTGTCTCTTTTTTCTGATTACAAAAGTACACAACGGGGGTCACAGGGGAAATGAGAGCATCCATCAGTTCGGGGCCGGAGTGGGGGAGGGGCCCGCGGGCGGACAGTGGGGCGCAGGGGCGGGGACTGTGCTGCTGCTACGGGGACGCGCTCCGCCGGCCGGCGCAGCGCTCAGGGCGAGCTGGCCGGACTGATGGTGGGGCTGCTGGCGTCCGAGCGGCTGTAGTCGCTGAGCGAGCCGGTGCGCGAGCCGCCGCCGCGCCGCTGCAGCATCCCCGGGTGGAAGTTGGCGTGGCGGCGCGCGTGCTTGGTCAGGTGGTCGCTGCGCATGAAGCGCTTGTCGCAGATGGGGCAGCTGAACTTCTTCTCGCCCGTGTGCGTGCGGTAGTGCCGCGCCAGCTCGTCCGAGCGCGCGAACTTCTTGCTGCAGTCGGGCCAGCTGCAGGCGAAGGGCCTCTCACCTGCGGGCGACACGGCAGAGCGTCAGGATGGGTGCAGCCCACGCCTCCCGCCGCCCGTGGGTGCCCGCGCGAGCCCAGGGCACGCCCCTCCGCAGCCTGGCCGCCCCCACACCGCGCGCTGCGCCCTTTTCCCGTGGGCCCCTTCGCCCCCCGGGTGTGACGGATCCATCAAGCCAGAGGTGTGTGCGCAGGCGCCCTCCCGCCCGCACCTGGGGAGGGAAGCAGACCTCCCCCAGGATGTAACGACCGCATCGTAGGGGCTGTGGCCGTAAGAGCCAAGGGCCCTGGCAGTGGCCCCCTCTAAGTACACAGCCTCTGCAGAGCCTGCTGGGGCGCGGGCTCGAGGCTGGGAGCCAGGAGCCAGGGGCGGAGGAGAGCCCCAGAGGTGGCCTACCCCTGGGAGAGTCCAGCTGCCTCCCCCAACTGGGCCCACGGAGCCACTCTCTGACCCGGCACCCCTGCGGCCCCTGGCGCCCTCCTCAGCCCCAGCCCAGCCCCTGCGATTTCCAGGCCCTGAGAATTCTGCTCAAGACATCTGGTTCACTCGACAGGCTCCAACTAGAGTCTGCGGCTCCTGTCCACAGAAAAGTCCCAATGCGGAGGCCAAGAGGACAGGAAACTAACAGGCTCCTGCAGGCCCAGGCAGGGCGCTGCCCAGGGCCGCCAGGGAGGGAGAGGTAGCGACGGGCAGCTGCCGCCAACACCCCGGCCCGGCCCGGCCATCCCCGCTCAGCGTTGAGCTGGACCTGCTGTACCCAGGCATGTTCTGAGCCCTGGACAAGACACCAACTGCTCAGGAAGAACCAGCAGGGGGGCTGGCGCCCCAAAATGTAGCCCTGGAGTGACCACGCAGCCACCGGCCTGTGCCCAGCTGTGGAAATCCACACCACCCGCCCCAAAGGAGCCCGCCAAGCTCAGATATAAACAGACACCCACGGCTGGCTCGTCGGCTCAGGACAACCGGCAGCCTTACAAGGGAAAGGCCAAAGGCCACGGAACCACCGCCTTCAGCAGAGGGACAACAAAACCGGCACAGGAAGGGAATGTCCCCCTAAAAATCCCAGCACGCGTTGTTGGGGACATCGCAGACGAAACGTGATTCATAAAGCAAACGGGACCATAGAAAGGAAGCCCAGGGAACAGGGAAATTGGTGTTTAGAAATGGACAGTGGCTTTGCCCAAACAAAAATTCCACGGAAAAGCTGGCAATACACTCAAGAAACTATCCTAGGAAAGAGAAAACAGAAAAGAGCTCCGGAAAATATGTCGATGGCCCTGCCTGTGTGGCCACGCTGAAGTCCAGGGCTGCGCGTGGCTGGGTGTGCTGCTGTCCTTGTTGATTTTCTGTTTTGGGAGGAAGGGTGTGTGGGGGGGAGGGTGGAAGTGAATAGGAGAGCAAGGCATCGTTTCGCAAGCATTTGTGATCATTACCAGCAGGAGAGGCTGGAAGTTCAGAGTCACGGGGAATCGATCCCGGGGAGCCACATCTAACAGAAGGCAGTGAGGAAAGACATAGGGAAAAGCGGGGGAGGGCGGGGAGAGGAGGTTCCTCAAGAGGGGGCAGAGCTGGGACAGACACCAGGCTCTTTCAAAGCCCCTGAAGTCACACTGGATGAAAGAGGAACAGGCCCTTGCAAATTAACTCCTCAGACTCTGGTAAAAACGAGGGAAAAAACCCAAGAAGCCAGGGGAGGGAGGGAGCGGTGGAGGACAGGAGCGTCTCAGGGCAAGAGGCAGGCAGAGATGGCGGGGCGGGGGAGAGTCCCATGCACCCACAGAGTGTGACCCTGAGGCCGAATACACTTCACGTCACAGTGAAGGCACAGACCATCCTCGGGGGGAAAGGCAATTAGAGACTCCAGGAAAAACAAGGAGACAGGCAAGGCAGTTGTGGTCTATGAGGCAAACTCACAGGCCACATGCTCATGAGTTCTGAGCCAAGCTCTGTTCTCGGGGCTTTTTGTATGTTTTTGTTATTCCTCACAACAGCCCCCTGAGGAGGCAGAAGGGACAGGCCCCGGCTTAGGGAAAAGATCTTACTTAACACGGTTGCGGTCACATGAGCGGTAACCTAGTTGCCAGTGTTTGGAATTGCCCTTCGAGACAAAGCCCACGCCGCTGACTCACGGCCCCGGCAGAGAATGTGGATTTAAGGGAAGTGGAGAGGCACACACGTGCGCACTCAAAGGAAATCTCAAAAATGAGGTTAAAGTTACAGGACTCATCAGCCAAAGGACTAACACTTATCCATCAACTCAGGAGGAGTCCAGGGCAGAGGTAGGAACACTTAGCTTATTTACGGAAGTAACGACAATCGAAAGTGGCAACGAAAATCAGGGCAGCATTAATCTCTTGGGAGGAAGGCTGGATTGAGAACAGAATTTGCTGTTGCTGTTGTTGTTGTTATAAGCTCTTCGGTGTTGTGTGTCTTTTTAAAAAAAATCGTATGCGTTTATTGCCTTGATAACAGTAAAAAAAAAAAAAGAAAAGATGTTTAAATAGAATTCTTTAAATATCTAGGCCAGAGTTTCCCAAACCATGTTCAAAGAAACATTAGAATTGAATAAATTGCTAACAGGCCCCAGGGAGGGAAAAAACATCTTGTCAACAAAGATGTCTGAGAAATGCTGGAGGCTGATTCCACTCTAGGAAAATTGCAACACACGTTTGTCAATATGCTTGGAAAGGTCCTGCATTCAAAAAAGAAGTTTCATTTCGTGTGACCGGGTGCTGAGTTGAAGCACTTCGTGCACTGAATGCGACAAATGAGGCTCAGACCCTGCATCTGGGAGTATTGGTAGAAGGGCCTCAGACAAGCACCTCGTTGCCCGAGGTGGTTCAATAGCGCCCCCAAGAGGTGTGTCCAAGTCTCGATGCTTGAAACCTCTGAATGTGTCCTTATGTTGCAAAAGGGTCTTTGCAGCCTTGGCCGCGTGGCTCGGTTGGAGCATTGTCCTGTACACCAAAATGTCCCGGGTTCAATTCCCAGTCAGGGCACGTGCCTAGGTTGTGGGTTCGATCCCCTGGCGGGGCACGTAAAGGAGGCAACTGATTGATGTTTCTTTCTCACATCAAGGTTTCCCTCTCTGTTTTTCTTCCTTCATCTCTCCAATCAATAAACATATCCTTGGGTGAGGATTAGAAACATATATGTAAATAAAGGTCTTTGCAGATAGAATTAAGGTCTTCAGATGGGTCACAAGCGTCCTTAGGCAAGGAGAGAAAGGGAAGGGACACAGAGAAGAGAAAGCCACGTGATGGCAGAGGGAGAGACGGGCGCAGTGTGTCTACAAGTCAAGGGGCGCGAAGGATGATGATGACCGAGGGAAGCTGGGGACAAGCATGAGAGGCACTCTCCCTCGGAGCTTCCAGAAGGACCTAGCGCTGCCGACACCTTGACCGCAGACTTTCGCCCTCCCGAAGCACAAAAGAGCCCACGCCTGTTGCTCCCAGTCCGCGGTCACTCAGGGCAGCCACAGGAAACGCCTGCAGCGCCCGCCCGCCCTTCTCAGACCCACCACCGGCCCCCGGTCCTGCGCCTGGCCAACACCAAACGCCAACTCCTGAAAACGTTGCTTAGTTCCATTGCTCTTGTCCATGATTCCCAGCAACGAGGTCTTCTCAGGTTTGGAGGAAGAACCACCCGCATTCAGATGCACCCTCACTTCCTAATAAGCCCTGGGCCCTCGCTGGGGACGTCTCCTTCTCCTGGGATTCCTTCTGTGTACAAGCCTCTCTGGGAGGCACGTTGCGGGGGAGGGGGGGCGGTGTCCATTACAGATGGGCTCAGCGGTGAGGGCTGGTGCCGGGCGGCCTGGTCTGGCATTGGGGGGAGAGAGGGGGACAGGTCGCGTCACCGCATGGCCGGCACACGGCTCGTGGCCCGTCCGGGCCTCGGCAACTCAACACTCTCATTGAGCACAAACCCAACACGTGGCCCTGGGGCCACGGCTCAGACGCAGGCACACAGGGTCCTCCCGGCTCCATTCGCTGAGCCCTGGCTGCCCGGCCCGGGAGGGGAGGCGGCCCGCGAACTGGCCCGCACAGAGCCGGCTCGTACGCTCAGGAGTTATGATTCACGCTGGCACGCAGCAGCACCGGGGCCTGGCGGGGCCGGCTTCTGGGTGGGGACACGTGAGGGGCACCCAGGAGGCTGAAGAGGTGCAGCCTGGAGAATCGGGACAGCAGTCTGGACAGGGGACAGCGGCCGGGGATGGCGCTGCTCACACCCGCAGCAAGGGCCCCGCGGCGCTTGTTTACGAGGCGTATGCTCCTTGATTAAAACGGAAACAAATTTAAACTCCAGCACACATTCCGGTAGCTGTCCGAGGGGTGACGTCATCATGCACCATGGAGCCTCTGGAATATTCCGTTGTATTGTTTGGAGAGAGAGAAGGATCGATGATGTTATTATGGTGCAAAGAGTTTTCACCTCGCAGCCCCAGGAATGGGCCTCTGTTCCCTACAGGTGACCCTGGGCCTTGCTCGGAACACCCTGCCTCCGGGGACCCACCCAGGGTGCTGGGCAGCTGTGTGCACAGGGCAAGGGGCGCCCCCAGACGGAGTAGGGAGGCCTACAGAAAGTTGGCCCACTGGGCCGAACAGCTTCCTTCTTGCTGAGCTGAGATCCCATGCCTGCCCCCTCCTGGGCATGGGACAGGCACCGGCATCAGCCCCCCAGGAGGGCCGCAGGGCCGGTGCGCGCCCCCAGGAGTGAGCCTGGCCGTCCTGATCATTCCAGGACTCTGAAGGGAGCGCCACCTGCCCTCCACGGCTCCCAGAAGCCTAAGCGTGAGCTGCCCCGCTCCACGTGGCTGGGCCCCCTTCCAGGAGGGCTGTTTGGGGGAGGGGTTGTGGGCAGATGCTGAGAGGGGCTTGTCGGGGTGCAGGGTGAGGGGAAGGGGGCGGGGTTCTTGCCTTGCGGGGTGCTGAGTGCACAGGGAAGGGGTGGCGGAGGCTGGGGGAGGGCTGACTCACTGTGGGGGGGGCCTGGGGACCCA